TTACAAGAATTCGAACCCAAGGGATTTCACAGAGAACAACCTGCATTCTGAAGATTAGATCTCAGAAACCCTAGAGGAGAAAAGCAGTTCGCCACTTTCTTCTCTAGCTCTCTTCTCCATCAGCCGCCGCCAACCACCACCAGTTCGTTTTCTCTGAGAGGGAAAGATCAAGAAAGAGTTCTTGATATCATCCTTTGCTGAAAGGCTGATTCAGTTCGGTGCTCATTGTTTCCAGACGATTCTTGTGAAGGATTCAGTGCGTAGGATGCACTCAGCTGGTTCTGTTCCACAGTTGTTGTGTCATCTTCAGCAGGAGAAGATCTTGGTGTCTTCTTTGGGCGTGAACACCAACTTTGGGAGATATTATTTCTCTGGATCAGGTATAATCACTCCCTTCTCTTTTGGTTCAGATCTGGTTCGGTTCTGCTTCAAGTAGGATCCTTGAATCTTTATTCTAAAATCAGGAAATGTGATTCCCAATTGGAAGGAAGGTAGGAAATTTTTGAAATTCACCCACCCATTCCGCAATAGTTTTGGCGTCCATATGATGGATCCTACCATCCCTTTCAAATTGGACTGGATTTGGTCCAATCCGATCCAGTCCAATGTTTGTTCATTACAAATGGACAAGGTCCAATCCAATCCAATGAATATTTTGGACCATTTTGGATCAGTCCAATTCAATGTCTGAACCATCCAACCTATCAAATTTGTTTTAATTTAGATTAATGCTAACTCAAACCAGGTCCATTGACACCTATATTCTTATCTTCTGTTAATGGATCATATATTAGCTCAATCCAACCCAATCCGATACAAATTTATGAATGGATGGACCAGGTCCAATCCAATCCAATCCAATAAACACTTTGGACTATTAAGTTTGGACTGGTCCAATTCAATATGTCTTGTTGGTCCATCTAAATTGATTTTGGTTTGGACAGGGTCCAATCCAAAACAGGTCCATTGACACCCCTATCCAAGGCTGAAAACTACGGCCAAAGTTGAGTTTGGATTGAATTCAGGTTCACCTGAACCTGTCTAATATTTATATATTATATAATACGATATGAATTTATACTACATAGCATATTACAAATGAGGAGTTTTATATTATAGAAATACACTTGACAGTTCCAGTACCACATAGGGCTGTAAAGAGTGCACATTTGGGGTTATACTGCTGCGCCCCAAGATTACCATGCACAGGGTGCAATATTACACCATCACTATTTGCAAGCGCAGTGCAACATTCACAGCCTAGAGTGGTTTCATGGTATCGGTACCACATAACTTGTTTCTATATAGAATTTGTGATTAAACATCTGCAGTGCAAAAACATGTTTAGCTGTACCATTATAACAAAACCACTATAGGTCTATAAATGGTGTACATCTAGGCTGTTAATGTTGCATCCCTTGTCTGCAAACAATGATGTAATGTTACACTTACACCCTGTATACAGTAGTAGTTCAAAAATACGTCTTGCATTACTAGTATTTTATAAGTGAAACAGAAACATTGTGATGTTGTACCCCATGTTTTTACAATATTAATGCTGTAATGTTGCACCTATATCAGGATGTAATATTACAACACTTATATTGGACAAGTCATAAATCATAGCTCAAGGTGTGCTTCATTGTACTGTGAAAAGTGTGTGCATGTGTGCGTGTGTATCAGTGTTATCAAAGTGTCAACTAGTCTGTTGACTAGCTAGTGGGGCCAAACCTACTGCATCACTAACAAGTTTGGTCAATACTCATGATTCAGTTGCCTAGGACAACTATGCATTGACTAAGTTGGCTAGTTGATTAATGACTAATCAACCTAATAAACCACAGTCATTTTAAAGCTTTATTTGCATAAAACAAAAGAAGGCAGTGGAGTTCTTTTAAGTTGTCATCCAATCAGTATTTGTTGGTACAGAGTTGCCACAAATCTTCCATGGAGCCTTGCAATCTGAACTAGGGTTGGACAGGGCTAGGCCAATGTTGGCCCTATAGGGCCCAGATTGATGCTTACCCTAGGTACCAAAGCCAAATCTTCCAAAGAGAACTCTTGAACTACATGCATTAGCTTTCCATGATCCATGGTCATTAGTACTTGAGAAGTAAGAAAAAAACAGGCATTGGATAAGCTATACAACGCAAATAGGATCATTTTCAAATACYAACCTCTTCAATTTCTTGTGTGACACGATTTGGTTCAGCACCTGGGAGATCTATTTTGTTCAAAACCTGTAATGGAAGAGAAAATTTGTTTTGACTTAGCACAACTTTAACCATTGAATATTTTAATTTTATTTACTTGAGAATGGAGTTTTTGCTACTTCATAATAAACTTGTTTGACATAAGTGCACATCTACAAAATATTTATCAATTCCATTGATTCCCCAAGGACTTGTATTCATCCCATTATATTCCTGTAGTAAAGAATACTACATACTTTTGATTGTTGTAACTTAGAAAAGGAAAAGGATAAAATTGGTCTGATTCCAGAGTCACTACAAATCCAAGTCCAAGATTACAAAATTTAGTCATGATTAGGGCGAGTTATTACAAATTTCTCAAGAGGGCTACCTTGGATAAATGGTTGTGTCTGATTTACCAGGTGCAAGTAATTAGTTTTTTTTTCCTTATATATAGAACATTTTTTTATGGATAATCAAAAAGCTTTTATTAATGTATGGGTGCAGAAAGCAAGTTATTCTATTATTAAATGCAAAGTTTTATCTTTAGGTTCCTCTATGAACTCTTGACCAATGTTTTGAAAACCAAGCAGAACAACAATGCAGAAAGTGGGCCAGTTCTAGTCTCCTGGTTTAACTAGTTGAATCAACCTCATAACTGCCAAAACTGGAAACTTTAAGGGGGTGTTCAGTACCATGGTGAGTTCATGTTCCAACTGGTTCCAAAACAAGCCACACCGAACAAACATTCTTTTAGAGTATGGCATGTTCTGGAACCAGCAATTCATGGTTCTAGAATACAAAATGTTGTGACATTTTGAACATGGTCATTTCTCGTGATCCAGAACACATCACACCTTATTTCCTTCATATAGCTGAATAGGTACATTTCACCTGTGGGTCAGTACATTTCAAGTCCCAATATTTGGAACACACCACGCCAACATAGTACAAAACAGCACCAAGGATGTGGTGAGTTAAAAAAAAAAAAAAAAGAACAATTTCAAACACATCACTGTGAGGCCCAAAAGTCCAAAACTCACAACACCTGGTTGACACCATTGTACAGAACATGCCCCTAAATTGAACCAAATTGGTTATATTCCAGTCCAACCAGATTAAACCAGCCAGTCAGATTTGGTTTTTAAAACATTGATTTTAGCATACTTGGATCAGTGCCTCATAGGAGGCATCCCTTTGGTTTATTCAAGCAACCTAGGCTTTAATTGATTGATAACATTATACATCATCTTCCAACATTGTAGCAGAGAGTAAATTTTTTTATTGCATCAGATGCAATATTTATTTCCTCCATTCAGTGAATCCATTTAAAGTCTCATTGTTAAAATCAAAATGCAGAATTGATTTGGTGGGGGGCCTTCCCTTACTTCCTTAATACAGTGTATCCTTTTAGAAGGCCCAATTAATAGTTCAGTATTCTGTATTCCGCCTAAGGATCCAAGATTATTGATATGAAAACTGTGATAGGACCAATCCAGTGAGTCCAACCCCTTCCTTAATAGTTATAACTTTGGTGAAATATAACTGATTTAAATAGGGTTTCATGTTAGATCTGATTTGGCATCTGCCTGAATGCAGATTTAATTTAAATAGTCTCATTATTAAATTGTTATAAAGATTTGTTTTGGAGGGGCCTCCCCTTTGCCTGCTATTGATGCAGTGGGTCCATTTGTGGGGCCTAATTAACTTTGATGGATCTATTTCCATGGACCTTACTACCAATTCCCAATGTAAAATTCCAAATTAATGGTTTCCTAAAGAACCTGTAATGGGCCCTTGTCTATTTTCAATATGGGAAAAAAAAAACTAAAATTTGATAGTTCTCTATGCGACAGTAATGAATCTAATTTGGTAGGCCCCCTAACTATTTCCAAATAAAATAGTGTCACACAATGGATACAAGTACTTTGTTATTTTTGTTGATGACTATTCAAGGATAACATAGCTTTATCTTATAAAAGAAAGAAGTGAATTATTTTCTATTTTCCAAAAGTTTCATGCTGAAATCCGCACTCAATTTGATGTTCATATTAAGAGCCTACGTTCAGATAATGGCCGAGAATATTTTTATACACCCTTTCAGCAATATTTAGAAAAACATGGTATTATTCATCAAACCTCTTGCTCTTACACCCCTCAACAAAATGGGGTAGCTGAACGGAAAAACTACCTTCCCTTAGAAACCGCTTGGTCCCTGTTGCACCATATGAATGTACCCAAACAGTTCTGGAGTGATGTGCTTACATCTTCCTTTCTTATTAATCGAATGCCCATGTCCATCCTTGATGGTAAGTCTCCCTTCTCTCTTTTGTTTCCTACATTGTCTCCTTTTCCTCTTGCCCCTCGGGTTTTTGGGTGTGTGTTCTTTGTTCATAACCTTGGCCCTGGACTAGCCAAATTGGATGCACGATCTACGAAGTGCGTCTTTCTTGGCTACTCTAGGACCCAAAAAGGGTACAAGTGTTACAGTCCCAATTCTCAACATTGTTTTGTGTGTCCTGATGTTACCTTCTTTGAGTCGATTCCCCTCTTTTCTGGATCGGATGTCTCTTCTCCTTCCACTTTCCTTCCGCTTCCAGTTCCTATTCCGGACCCCATTCCTCTTGTTCCAGCTACAACTAAGTTTTCGCCTCCGATGCCACTTCCTCCTGCATGGCCACCTATCCAGCAAGTGTATACGCATCGACATGCACCAGCCCCTCCAACTTCTTTACCATCGACAGATCCAGCAGTAGTTTCCACAACACCATCACACCCTGTGTCTGACCTTAACCTTCCCATTGCCCTACGGAAAGGTAAACGTAGTTGTACCCTTCATCCTATCTCCAATTATGTTTCCGTTTCTCACTTCTCTCCTTCCCATTGACAGTTTGTTTCGTTGTTATCTTCTCTTTCTATTCCTAAGGATGTCCAGGAAGCCCTTATCTCTTTGGGGTGGCATCAGGCAATGGAAGAAGACCTCTCTGCTTTGGCTCATAATCATAAGTGGGATCTCACCACTCTTCCCCCTGGTAAGCATGTTATAGGATGTAAGTGGGTATACAAGGTCAAGTATTTGCCTAATGGTAGTGTTGAGAGATTGAAAGCTCGGTTGGTTGCCAAGGGTTATTCATAGTTATATGGTATTGACTACACAAAGACCTTCTCTCCTATAGCCAAGATTGGTTTCGTTCGTGTTTTTATCTCCCTAGCTGCTATGCATGATTGGCCCTTGTTTCAGCTTGATATCAAGAATTCTTTCTTGCATGGTGATCTTCTTGAGGAGGTGTATATGGAGCAACCACCCGGGTTTGTTGCTTAAGGGGAGGATGGTAAAGTGTGTAAGCTCAAGAAAGCTATTTATGGACTTAAACAGTCCCCTCGTGCATAGTTTGGAAGATTCATTGAACTAGTGAAAAAGTTTGACATGAAATAGTGTCAAGTCAATCATTCAATATTTAGTTATGATTCTAATGTTGGAAAGATTTTGTTGATGGTATATGTGGATGATATTGTTATTATTGGCAATGATAGGTTTGGGATTGATAGGTTGAAGACCTTTTTGCATGATCACTTCCAAACAAAAGATCTTGGCAAACTAAAATTTTTCTTAGGGATAGAGGTAGCAAGGTCCAAACATGGTATTAACTTGTGCCAGAGGAAGTATGTCCTTGATCTACTAGAGGAGACAAGGTTGTTGGGTGCCAAACCAACTGAAACACCCATGGAATTGAATGTTAAGTTGAGTAGTGATACGGGTGAGGAGTTTAAAGATCCAATAAGGTACAGAAGGTTAGTGGGTAAGCTAAACTACCTAACTATCACTCGGCCAGATATTTCATTTGTTGTTGGTGTGGTGAGTCAGTTTATGCAGAATCCTTGGGTCCCTCATTGGGATGCAGTTCTAAGGATTGTAAGGTACTTGAAAGGAGCTCCTAGTCGTGGTTTGCTATACAGGAGTGGAGGAAAACTTGAAATAGAATGATACACCGGTGCTGATTAGGCTGGTTCTATATCTGATAGGAGGTAGACTACAAGTTATTGTACCTTTCTTGGGGGTAACTTGGTGACATGGAAGAGTAAGAAACAAACAATGGTGGCAAGAAGCAATATAGAAGCTGAATACAAAGACATGGCACATACAACTTGTGAACTGGTGTGGTTGAGAAACCTTCTACAGGAAATGGGGTACACAATTGACACACCGATGAAGCTTTATTGTGACAACCAAGCTGCTGTCCACATTTCTTCCAATCCATTCTTTCATGAGAGAACAAAACATATAGAAGTTGATTGTCACTTTGTGAGAGAGAATGTTCTTAGTGGAGTAATAAGTACAGCATATATTAACACAGGAAGCCAATGGGCAGATCTGTTCACCAAAGGGTTGAATCGGGCGAGAGTAGACTACATATGTTATATGATATATACTCTCCAGCTTGAAGGGGAGTGTAGTGTCGATTATATAGGGGTAGAATAGTCTTTTTGTTTATGTTTAATATGAGGTGTAATACTGAGTTAGATGATGTGTCCCATACTTAAGTAGGGGCACAAGAGTCATTTTGTTCTATAAAATAGAAAGCTTAATACATCCTGGCCGAATGGAGAGACAAGATTTTTCTCTCTCGTTCGAACCAGATTTCTCTCTTCACCCTTCATCTTTCTTCCCTCTCTTTTATCTTTCTCTCTTCTTTATCCTTTCTTCTCTGATTAATCTGAAACCAACAGGTATACAGATCTGAACTTTATCAATTACCATAACAGAAGTAATCATCAAACCCCTTGGTCTACTGAAACAGAGACCCTTACAGAGGAAATAGAAGACCCTCAGATGTTCTTATGCAATTTTAGGCCTTTATTTTAATATTTGCAAAAAAAACAGTTATAAGGAGTTAAACACTAGGGAAATTGCAATTTGCTAGGATTATAGAATTTTGCCTTTTTCATATCTACCACTGGCGTCAAAGACCTGCTTTGTATCAACTCAAATGGAAAATTTCATGTTGGTTCATAATGTGGATGGAGAATAGGCTTACTTAATGGAGAAG